AGAACATGTTCTATTCCTGGAATTTCCTGCGATCGCAGTCGGCGACCGTATTTTCGATCGCAAGAGAACTCATGTCGAGTTTGGTCGCCGATGTTTTTATCGGCGATCTGGCCGGTTTTTGACGTACGATATTCAAATCTTGTCGGCGACTAGGTCGTAAGGCCGACATAAGCGGGCCTTTAGACAACACTAATTCAAATCGTCAAGATTTTTGCAAATTTAACCAACGTAAACACATTTTTATCAGGTGAGAGTTTGAGGATATATTTAGTAACGTTAGTACTAACTTTTGATGCAAAAAAATTACAAAAATAAGGTTTCAACTATATTTTTTTAAATAATTTGTGGAGATTCGTGACGTAGACTCTTTAAATGATGTGCATGTTTCTTGAATTTGTTATCAAAAAGGGCTAATGTTCATACCAACTTGAATAAAAACAAACTTGATAATGGTTTGTTCTAGTTTGTTTTATCCCCCCTCTACGAAGTTTTTCAAGGTCACAATAGGGCGTTTTAGTAAAACCTCTATGAACGCACCTTTTCGAGTTTTCTCCCATTGCGAGGGGATGCCCCGTTTTGCGGAGCTCTTGTTTGTACAGTGTAGAAGTTATGGAGCGAACAGAAGTAGACTGGACGTGTTATACACTTGAGAAAAACACACAATCACTGATTCATAGTCTCGTCAAAGAGAATGCAGAAAATAATAAATGTACCTCCTTGAGAAGCAGCCTGGCATTCACAGGTGGCATGCATGATGTCAACAAGGTATCCCGCTGTGGCAGGGAGCGTCTCTGATGGCACATAGCAGACATGATTTGTCTGCCACAGCACGATGTTTGCCCATCCTTGAGAAATCATCTGTTCTGCTTTTCTTCTTCCCTGGCTTTCTCTACTGGCCGATTTGTTCTTAATCCTCCCAGCTTTCTTTAAGCCCTCCAAGTAGCTAAAGTGATAGAATACATTAAACTTTTTACTGATCAGTAGTAATCTACTGACGAATTTGAAAAATAATGCATCTTCACGATAATATTCATGGTTGCTTATATGTGATACACAGCTAAGCAGCTGGTAAACAACACTAGATATGTAAACCTGGAATCCTAGCAGAAAAAAGCTCAATATTATGTGTATGTACATTCTGACTTATGTGGTAAATAATGCACTCCACTGAAAAGGAAGATCAGACATATGCCATTGTAAAAAACTCGGATGGCAAGAACAAATATCAGGTTTTTTAATGAAAATAAATTGTTTGATTGGAATGTTGAAAAAGATAATGTTTGCTACAAACCTGTTCAATGGTTGATCAATGAGAATTTTGTCTTGGAGATCTGTTCTGCAGAGATGCTCAACTGACTGTGCATCATTACAATCGTACCTAGATAAATTAGAAAAAATATACATCACATATCTATACCATACTTAGTATAATAAATGCACAGTTTGAATGGTACTTCATCTAACATGGCAAGTGAGTTATTTTTCCAATATAGTTTGTACCATTCATCCAACGAAAATCTAGAAATGGTAGTTGTCGGCAACTACATGTATCCCCCGTGATCTAGTACAAATTAAATAGGTCAATTAGGGTCCGAGTTATGGAGCAGAAGGAAAATATCTTCAAGTTCAAGGTCAAATAAAGGTCATGGTGACCTAGTTCTGGTACCCAACACACCTTCTTCCCCTGGTGTGCAAGTATACCAGGTTTGGTCACCCTAGGTCAATAAGGGTCCGAGTTATGGAGCGGAAGGGAAATATCCTAGAGGTCAAGTTCACAGTCAAATAAAGGTTAAGGTGACCTAATTCTAGTACACGACACACCTTTTCCCCCATATGTGTAAGTATACCAGGTGTGGTCACCCTAGGTCAATTAGGGTCCAAGTTATGGAGCGGAAGGGAAATATCTTCAAGGTCAAGTTCAAATAAAGGTCATGTTGACCTAGTTCTGGTACGCGACACACCTTCTCCCCCAGGTGTGCAAGTATACCAGTTTTGGTAACCCTATGTCAATTAGGGTCCGAGTTATGGAGCGGAAGGGAAAAATCTTCAATAGCTTCAAGGTCAAGGTCAAATAAAGGACAAGGTGACCTAGTTTTGGTACGCGACACACCTTCTCCCCAGATGTGTAGGTATACCAGGTTTGGTAACCCTAGGTCAATTAGGGTTCGAGTTATGGAGCGGAAGGGAAATATCTTCAAGGTCAAGTTCAAGGTCAAGGTGACCTAGTTTTGGTACACGACACACCTTCTCCCTTGGGTGTGCAAGTATATCAGGTTTGGTAACCCTAGGTCGATTATGGTCTGAATTATGGAGCGGAAGAGAAATATCTTCAAGATCAAGTTCAAGGTCAAATAGTGGTCAAGGTGACCTAGTTTTGGTACGCGACACACCTCCCCCAGGTGTGTAAGTATACCAGGTTTGGTAACCCTAGGTCAATTAGGGTCCAAATTATGGAGCGCAAGGGAAATATCTTCAAGGTCAAGTTCAAGGTCAAGTTCAAGGTCAAGTTCAAGGTCAAATAAAGGTCAAGGTGACCTAGTCAATTAGGGTCCAAGTTATGGAGTGGAAGGGAAGTGTCTGCGGCGGTGGCGGCGGCGGCAGAGACAGTTCAGCCGTGAAACCATAGTATCCCCCGACCATTGTCGCGGGGGATACAATTAAACATCGAATGCTGTGACGAATGTTGGATAACAGTATAGCATGCAGGTATAAATGTACAACTGTGCAATAAAACTGTTCTAGTTTCAAAAGAATGTTCGTAAAATTGTTATAAATCTCTGACCTTGATGTGATAATGGGGAAAATCCTGACATACTGGTAGTGAGTATTATTCGTATGCCCAAAATGAATTATAGCATGAATCAGAAGTGTCCCCAGTGGTTGTGACCATCAATATATAACTGGTCCATATCCCTGACACATGTTCATGGTACTAATAGGTTTATTTAATTTGTAAAAATACCAAACTACGACCATAATTATGTACAAATGACATCACAAGTATGCTTTTTGCATATATAAATGTATTCAGAACATTTTTAGTTTAAACTTTGTGTTACATGCTCTATATTTATCCCACATCAGATATTCCAATACATTTTATGGACATATATTATACCATTTTCCAAAATCAGGAGGGGAATTGACATTATTTGTATACAAGTAAATATAGACAAAATGACCTCCTGCAGAAGTGACATTATATATCATGTATATTATCAAGGTATCGCTAGTAATACGAATCCCCTCTCATAATTTGTGTGGTATGTATTTATCTAATTAGGTGGTACTGTCATTCCTAAGTGAACACATTTGTTATGTGATGAGGAAACTGTTTGTAAAAAAGTAACTATAGCGATGGCAAATTTTTCTCCCCCAAAATAGTAACAGTGATCTCGAACTTTTATAGTGCATCATCTGAAAAAGAAACTCCTTTAAAGTTTTAACATGGGACATACTGCCTTTTCTTGTTGTATTTTAATTTATACACCAGGTTTGGTAATACCAGCTTCAATAATGTTGAAGATATATCACAAGTCAATATATCCTATGTAGGTTATAGGTCAAAATACAGGTCACAGTGACCTTTTTTTTTACATGTGCCCAGTAAAAATAAACTCGGTTTTAATGTGGAATTAAAACTTAAACGAACTGGTTTATCAATAACTAAGTTTCTGAGGAATTACAAAAAGTATGAGTGGAGAAGATTGTTTACTGTGAGTTGGAATGATCATGTATGACCAGTTGACTTGCATAGCAACCTATCGGTATCAACTTGGTGTGGCCTTATGGCATTTCTCAACATTGCACTCCAAAACTCCATTTACAATTGTTAGGGACCATGTTAAAATATAAAAAATATCAATAATCAAGAAATATTTCACTCAAACCATTTATATCAAATTTACTCAACTCTGCAAAACTACGCTACAGATTGAAATTATCTGCTTGTCACAAAAGTTTGATGTATTTTAATATCTGCTCTCTAATGTACAAGTTTGCATCATCATTTTTCTGATAATTTCTGATGATGTAACACACTTTAGAGAACAATGATACATAACTTAAAATATAGACATCTTAGCATTATCCATTAAAGCTGAGAGTGCAAGTTGATAGGAGTTTGTGGCACCAGTAAATGATTTTTGACAACCCTGCTTGACTCCTCCTGTGTTTGTATCCGGGAAGGGTGGCCATTTTAGTTGGAAGTTTTCCTGAAAACCATCCGTGTCCAAACCGTTATAAAAGCTGGCCCAGACAGTGTGGTAGTCATTGCAAGCTTGGATTTCTAAGTGACAACATCTACCTCGTGTTTCTTTGACAAAGGGAATACAAAATTGTGCCGCAGCAAGGATTCGAACCTACAATGTCAGTTCTATTTTCACTCTCGCTATCCATTATGCCATGGTGACTCAATTGTTAGAGACTTCACTTTTGCGTACCTGGTCAGTGATTTGTTTGAATCGATACACAGGAAGGCCTTTTGTGTGGTATTCACACTTTTTTCGATGTTTGTGTAACAAATCTAAATATTCAGCTGTAAGTAACGCAGATATTTGGCCAACAGGAACATTAGAATTCATTGATCGATGGCGAGTATGCAACTCGAAGCGAGAGAATGTACCTTATACAGCTATACTGGGTTAATAATTGTATGACTGTGATTTTAAAATGTACTTTTTTAATAATATTTATGTATAAGTTGCTACACGAAGTCAAAGTGTTTCCCTTGTATTAATTGTGTTATGTGTATCGTTATCAGTACATTGGTC